GTTTGAGGTCCACCTGGTTTACAGAGTGAATTCCAGGACAGCCAGAGGTATATAGTGAGATCCTTATAGTGTTAAAATATTTGTTTTCGTAAATAAATATTGAAGACCAGAGGCAAGGCTAAAGTCGCTAAAGTCACTAGAAGTCAGGTAATGGTGACACGAAAACACACCTATATATCTCTGTGTGTGTGTGTGTAAAATATATGTTTAAATGTAAAAATACATTTTATATACGTATAATTATATATATTTGCCTTCTTCACTGTGCAGATGAATTGGGTGATACCTCTGAGATCAATTAGGGCAGCAGTCCCAAGCATATTAGCTGTAGAGTGGAACGGTCCACTGCCGTATAGCAGTGGTTAAAAACAATGGAGTATTATTTAACATCAACTTCTGTGAACATGTTAAACTTGACCAATTTTATTAGATCCTAACAATTCAGTAAAAACCCTTTTGATAACTATACTAAAAGACAGAATACATATTCACAAAAACCCACTGCTGAACTCCTTGAAGCTATGACTAAGAGCATATGCATTATCATCTACTTTGCAAGCTAAAGTAGCCACTTGTTTCCCAGAATATGATTTTACTTGGGCAAAAAGCAGTGGACAAGGGGCTGGAATGTAGGTGGGCCAGTGTGCAAAACTGTCATGCAGGTGTGAAGATCTGACTACAGATCCCCAGAACCCACGTGAGGCAGGGCAGAGTAACCCGTGTCTAATCCCAGGGTGCCTACAGAAGGATGGGTGGTGGATACAGGCCTTCCCGGAAGCCTGTAGACCAGCTAGCCTATGCCACAGTGATCAGAGAGACACCGTTTCAAACAATGTTCAAGACAAAGATGAACAGCTCAGGTTACCCTCTGACCTCTGCACACCTGTACTACACACAGTCACACGCACAGTTCTACAAAGGGACAAATAATGTTTGGCCGATATTTTCCCAGGAAAAATGGGCTGCAAGGAGAACTAAGCGTCTCTATTGCTGATGATAAAATCCAGATTTCCCAACCTTTCCATTCAACACTCAGCGCCTTTCTGAACTAGAACGTTCCAGTTCCCTCAGATATTCTACTTGCAGCTCTCTTCTCTTCTGGCATCTTCTCGTGTGTGCCTATGTGAGGGCCAATTCTCTACAGCTACTGAAACAGTGTACTGAATCACTCTGGATGCAGAAACAGACCCAAATCTCCAGCTGTGTTCCGTTAAGCCTCATGTTAAAGATATCTAGGAAAGCGTAAAACAATGTCCTTCATAGAATTTTACTTTGTTTTTGGAAGGTATGCTTAGTTTTTTTATAAACATGCTATATATGCTAAGGTATGATAGATTAATTTTGAAATGAATAAAGAAATATTTGAAAAAAATGAAGAAGAAGCTGGGCAGTGGTGGTGCACACCTTTAATCCCAGCACTCGGGAGGCAGAGGCAGGTGGATCTTTGTGAGTTCAAGGCCAGCCTGGTCTACAAGAGCTAGTTCCAGGACAGGTTCCTAAGTTACAGAGAAACCCTATCTTGAAAAATAAAAACAAATTTAAATTTTCACTTTTTGGTTTAATGTAATAGTGACAGACACAAGCTACATTAACAAAGGTGCTTTGGTATCCTCAGTTATTGGAGTCTGATACCAAAAAGGTTTCAGTATCTCTAGTATGGTATAATTCTGGGGGTACAAACCCAGAAGCCCTATTTAGTTACAAAAATTTGGACTTCTTTCCTTTAATAAGGTAATGATTAATTTAGAAAGAGCCTAGAGAATTCAAGGTAAGACTTTCCGACAGGGTGGAAGGTTGCTGCTGCCTCCCTTAGGAAGGACAAACACGTGTGGAACTCAGTTGTTCTGGGAATTTCTTCTTGGGGTTTTAGGAATCCCCTCGGGGTCTACAGGTCTCTCTGCCAGCATCTTTTGCAGTTTCTGTATGCCCATTAGTCTCACATTTTAGCTGGCTACCACTGAAGTCCTTTCTTTGAGCTATCTTGCCCACTCCAGAATGCAGCCTTGCACAGAAATGGCTCTCTGAGGCTGCCGGTGAGAGATGCGAGATCTCACCCATCTCCTTGACTTTCCTCAGCTCTCAACAAAATGCCAGGTATCAGCACATGTTTCCCACAGGATTGCTAAGCGGCAAAGTAGGATGGAGACTTTGGATAGAAATGCTTCATTTCCACAATGCTTTCTCTCTACCTTACTGTTTCCTTTCTCTGAATGGCAGTTTTCTTGAGGCATACACAGACCCAGGCTTCAGAGGTCAATGGATCACTGGCTTATCCCAATTTTTCATTATGGAGGAATTACTTAACTTATTTGCACCCCAGTTTTGCATGTGGGTGTAACTAAACTGCTTTAACATAGAAGCATACAACAGATACTGGTATTATGCCTAATCTCCCCCCTTTTCTGTGGGATGCTTAAAGATAGTGATCAAAGATACATCAACCAAAAAGCAAAAACGCAAAGCATCCCTTAGCCAGTGGAAAGTTGGTCCTGCTTAGTCCAATTCCTTTTCCTCTCTACTCAGTGTATGGAGGGAGGAGTGGAAATTTGATATCAACTGAAATATGTGCTTTAAATTATTTTAACTAAACCATGACAATCTGATATAGCCAATTCAATTATTAACTTATTTTTAATACAGTTACTTTTGCCGTTTTTCGAAGATTTGCATTTATTTTCTCTCCTTGATATAAATGAGTATTTGTAGGCAAAACCAGGCTTTCAGTCTGTGATCTTTCTGCCCCAGCCTCCCAAGTGCTGGGATTAGGCGTGTGTGCTACCACACCTGCTTCTCCTCAGATCTTGACCAATTGCCCATCTTCTATCCTGTGTGGCTCTGCGAGCCTCCCGGCCTTGCTTTCTTTCCACCTTGGTCATCATCCCTTCAGGGTTTTCCTGGCACCCGTAGGTCGGAATGGCTGAATTACTCAGGATTTTCCTGTTGTCCACAGTGTTCTTTGATGTTCCCTGTAAACCCAGAACCGAGGACAGATCTCCAGGAATTAATCGAGAAGGCTCATGAAGGGAATGATGGGTATAATTGGAAACTCTGCAAGGGTCGCTTTTCATCCGTTTCCTTTGGTTTTAGCTGGACAGACCTGAGCCTAACTAAGGAAGAAAGGGAAGCAGTGGACTGGAGCAGGGTGGGTGACCGTTACATGGGAATGGCTCCTATCTTTGAAAACATGTTTTAATTCCTCCATCTAGAAGTTGTGACTTATAAAACTCGATGTTCTTTTTGAAAAGTAATTTTACTTATCTGTTTAATGTGGATGGGTGTTTTGTTTCCACGCATATCTGTGTACCATGTGCATGCCTGGTATTTGTGGGGACCAAAAGAGGGCATCAGATCTCCTGAGACTGGAGTTATAGATGTGGATGCTAGGGATTGAACTTGGGTCGTCCGGAAGAGCAGACTATGCTATTAACTGCTGAGTTATCTCTTCAGCCTCTGATTTAGGAATTTTAAATAGCATTCTCAGGACCCCTCCCCCTCCAGTTTTTATTCTTTTGTTTGAAACAAGGTCTTTCTTTGTAGCCTATTGTGTCCTTGAACTTGCTGCGGTCCGTTCCGTTATCTTAGCCTTCCCAGCGCCAGAGTTACAGGTGTGAACCACCATGCCTGGCAAGCTGTTAGGATGCTTATGCTCATGCTGGGGGAAACTAAAGGCTACTTGGCCCTGACACTTTCATATTCTTGAAGAATACTCTGGCAGTTTTCTGCTTCCTAGAGCCCCCTCACACTCTTCCACACCCGAATAAGCTTGTAAAATAGACTGCTGTCCTAAACTTAACTCCCCAGGCTGTCATCCAAGGCAGAGTGTAGGTCATGGCCATGATCAATTCATCTAGAAATCGACTACCATCTAAATAAAGCATCCTTGAAGTTGTAACTGAATAGGTGAGTGAGCGCTCTCCCACCCCCCACTAAGGCTTATGAACATATATAGGGTGAGAAGATAAAGGGTTTCCCCCGGGGAGGGTAAAGAGGGACTCAGAACTACAGGGTAAGAAGTACCCCTATCTATCTATCTATCTATCTGTCTGTCTGTCTGTCTGTCTGTCTGTCTGTCTATCTATCTATCTATCTATCTATCTATCTATCTATCTATCTAATTAACTACACTGAGTTAGATAACTGTATACATTTTAGACAGAAAACAGTCGGTGATGATCTAAGCGTCTCTCGGAAGGATCCCTGCAGGGAATGAGTCAGTGAGGCCTGTCAGGTGCAGGCTCCTTGTGGCTCCAGTCAAGAGAGGAAAGAGCCGCAGGAGCGCCGTCCCTCTTGGAACAGGGAGTGCAAGCTTAGCTTAGCATGATTCAGAGCTCTCCCCTGCTGGGCCAAAGCTGGACACCTGACTTGATCCACATTAGTCAAGGTGACATGTGGACACACATTTCCAGCAGTGGAGCTCAAGGCTGGGAGCTAGATTTTTCAGTCCCATTACGGAGGAAATGACCTTCCGACGTACAACCCCATTATGGTGTTGTATAGTTTCTTCGACAAGAAGTCCCACTTCTTGGAGGGAGGAAATGGAAGGGGAAAGGACATGGCTATAGTAGTCTCAAAAAAGTAAAATTTTCTTTTCTTTTCTCTTTCTTTTTTTAAAGCTGTGTGTCTTCTATAGTCTTTACAAAGAACTACTGCTGGCATTGTTTGAGAACACTGAGATAGAATGCCTTTATTACTTGTATAGAATGCCTCTCATACACAATGCTCTTTGAAATTCAAGAGCACTAAAGCTAACTTAAACAGTAAAATAAAAATAGACTCTCTCTCTCTCTCTATATATATATATATATATTATATATATTTATACTCTCTCTCTATATATATATACACACACACACACACTCTCTCTCTATTTATATATACTCTCTCTCTCTCTCTCTCAAAATATATATATTTTCCTCCTCAGTATTTTCAGAGTTGGCCATTTTCTCACACACCAAGATGTGACAAATGTCGCCCCACTTACCTGCCTGTCCCCCTTCTAGCTGTACCCGGAGCGATGCTGCTGTTTATCAAGTCTCTGCACGAAGCTGCGTGGGGATGATCTGCTGTTCGGCATCCGTTGAGGTCCAGAGTCTGCAGGACACACAAGTGTCTCCTGACCCAGGAGGTGGCAGGGATGTGGCTGGCAAACGGGAAACGGAGAGACATGAAGGAGATGGCATAAAGCACATGAACGAGAAACGGAGCCCTTGTAAGGGAGAAGAAAGTGTGGGGGTTTGCCTGTCAGCTGATTCTTCCCCCCATAAATCCAAGCACTCATGGTCGCCCCAGAGAGAGGCTATGCATGACTCTGGTGCTTCCAATTCTGAGAATCCTCTGGATGTTAAAGAGACAAGACAAAGGATAGAGCCGTACAATTCAGATAACACACAAGAAAATCCCTTTCATTCAAATAACACTACTGGGAAACAAGATGTATGTCAGCACAGGACAGAGCATACAACTGAGCCGGGGTTAACTGGCGATGGCCTAGGTAGCAAAGGGGCTAGTGAGGAGGGTGTCAAAACCCCTCGCCATCAAAACCCCAGAGCACAGAAATACATCAGCTTTAGTCTCCCGCTGCCGGAGGCCTCCCTGTGTCCTTACCCAGGTGACAGCAACCCCATCACCAACTCCATCACCGTGCAGCCCGGCCCACAGGTTTCCAGTGAAGACTCTGACAGCGACTATGAACTTTGCCCAGAGATAACCCTAACCTACACGGAGGAGTTTTCAGATGATGACCTGGAGTATCTGGAATGTTCCGATGTTATGACGGATTACTCTAATGCCGTTTGGCAAAGTAACCTGCTGGGGACTGACCGAGTTTTTTTATTAGAAAGCGATGACGAAGAGCTGGAATTCAATGAGTGTGGTCTGGGTGGGTGTGAGCATTTCCTCAGTGAAATGGGTTGTGGGCCTCGGGTGTCGGGTGACATGGGGCCTATGAATGCCACCACTGGCTCCTGTTCTTATCTCTCACAACCCCAGGAAGTGGGGGTCAGGAGCAGCGGAACCTCCAGGCACAGTCCCTTACCCCTGCATGCAGGCATGACTCTGACTCTGGGACCTCACCAGGATGGAACGGCTAAGATGACTGAACCGGGGAGGGCTCCACTCTCTACTGCTTCCGAGGCTGTTGGACATGATTGTCCAGGAATTCGGGGAGAAACCAGAGACAACCCTGAAGCAGAAGAGGAATTCTCCAGTTACAGTCTGCAAACCATGGATAAGGCAGAGACAGAGGCAGGGGTGAGGCCCTCGTCTGGGGGGTTAGAAAAGTCAGAGGTGAAGCAGGGTTCGAAAAGCCTGGCTGGGGAAAGATCAGATGAAAAGCATCCGGGCGGCAGAAAGGCTGCCCCGAGACCCACCAGGGTGAGGCGGCCCGGAATGAAGGCCAATGCCAAGAAGCAGCTGCTGAAAGACAACGCTCCAAAAGACACGCTTGATCTGCTCCCCAAGGACCCGACTAGGCACCCCTTAACTGGGAACTACGGACAAGAGCCCACACACACCGAGGCAGGAGCTGCTGGCTGGAATTCCCACTTCCATGCAGAACCATGTAGTCTGCTTCCTGCAGACCAAGACTCCAAAACCCCTCGGCCACTGGCAGACCCACTTCCGAAGGAAGGGGCCACAAGCTTGGGGAGAGGAGGGGAGCTGTTTAATCAAGTATTTGAAGCAAGTCGGATAGCAGACCAGACTGACCATCTTCAGGTAAGACCTGCTTTGTTTTGTTTATTTTGTTTTGTTTTGTTGTTTTTAAACTGCAAGAGGAAACGTTGTGTGTGTGTGTGTGTGTGTGTGTGTGTGTGGTGTGTTTGTCACTTCACACTCACAATTCTTGTACTATAATGTAAATCAAAATAAATATTCCAGTGCCGTCGGGTACTTGTGAATGGCAGCTGCTGTTTCGGCAGCTAGGAAGGAAATCTGGCTTTGACAGAAGGCCCAGATAAACCCTGAGCAGTCCTAATTATAGCGTAGGAGCGATAGGGTGAAGTGTACTAATGGGATTCTGGACAGCTGGGAAAGAAACCTGATATTTTGCCTACTGCATGTGTTTTACTAGGCAGTGCTCGGTATTCCGAGAGTTTCTCAAGTACTTGTTCGTGGCGTCGCCTTTAAAGGGAGGGGGGTCCCATTCTTTCTGGTCGTTTTTCGGGTACACTTTGAAAATGGTAGACTTCGGCTTTAGTCAGAACACATAATGCAAGTGGCAGGCTTTCGGTGGGACTGAAAAACTTACAGGATCCACTTGCCACGCTGGAGAAAGGAGGAAAACTTGATCTTGTTGCGCGTGCGATACGATGCTTTTGATTGGGCATTTGCCTTATTTTGCTTTTCTTACATCACAAAGTATAAAAGAGGCCAAGAAAATGCCAAGAAGAAAGTGTCTTGTCCCCTAATAATGATTTGGGTATGATTTTTAGTTCTGATTTGAAAGAGACAGAATTATAGGAACAATTAATGCATAGAGAAGATTATGTTTCCTATACTTGTATTTTTAATTATGTAGTTTTATAATAGGTTTTGGGCTGTTGATATGCTATGGACAAGATTGGCTTTTGGAAACAAAGGTCTTTAGGAATGTCTGTGTGTCTGTATATTTGTTTGCACCCAAGTATCTGTTTATCTATCATCTCTATATCCATCTGTCATAATTATTACTATTATTACCATTTTACTATACTTCTTGTTATTCCCAAACTTAAAGAGACACTGATATTTCTTACTACCTGGGAATCTATATTTAAAAATATGGTATTATTTTTAGAGAAGACTAAACACTCCAAAGAAATAATTTCTAATGCAAAGTAGCTGAACTCGATGAGAAGAAATAATAAACCCCAGTGCTCTGGATTCCTAAAGGTCCTGTCATAAAATAGCCAAATACAAATGTCCAGACCTGAGCTCTAGATGAACCAGTTGCTCTGTTCTGCTGGTGAAACTGGCCAGATGGAGCCGCCATTTCTCTGTTCTGCAGGCAAACCAGCTCGGTCCATTGTGTTCCTTAAACATCCCAAGGATCTGCTCACACAGCACAGCCACAGGTCCATGCACATGACCGGTGCACGGAGGAGCTTTGGCTAACTGCTAGTCTGAAGTGCCAGTGTTAATCTTTTCATGCCATTGAACACAGAATGTCCAGCTAAGCACCTTTCTACAGTGGTTGTGCAGTTAGAACGTGTTTCCCCAAAGAGGGCCTTTCCTCTTAAAGGTTGGGGCAAGAGGAAGGAGGCAGTTGACCATGTCGGCTTTAGACTCAGCCCTACGAGAAGCAGGTTCTAGATCTGTTAACTGTGGCCAGGAGGGAAGGGACCCCTGATTTCCTCAGTTTGTGCTCTAACCAGAATTTGAGAGCCAGCAAGCTGGTTTACTGAAAATGCAGCTAAATAAAATGCACAGTCTTTAGGCCCAAGCCAGGACCTATCTGTCAGAGTTCTTTGTGAACCCACATCCGCCCCACCTTTACTGATGTTGTGTAGTGTGATTAGATGATTAATGAAGACCCTGAACTTTGCTGTTTGGAAAACTGAAGGAAAAGTGGAATGTTTGGGTCAGTGACATTTCTTCTCTTTAGATTAAATGCCTCTGGGTTTGGCATATGTAAAAATGCAGATTCTTTTAGCCCTGTGTAAAGTTTCTATTTAATTATGGAAGATATCTATATTTCTTATACTCTATAAATCATGGCCAACAGATAGCAAGTGGCTAATTACTATTGCAAATTTGACATAGAAATAGGGGAGTCACTGGGAATTCTATAAAACCTTGTATAATATGATCCAGGGGAAAAATGGCTTTTTCCATAACTAAGTTCAAAGACATTTTAAATATTTCTTCTCTGACTCCTGAGGTTTGGGCACCTAAGAATTTTTGAAAGCTTTAAAATCCTGTCTTCGGATTCATAGTAATAAGTTTTTCCATCCTCGAATCTAGTGTTACCCACTTACCTCGAGCTGTCTCCTTGCAGGAAGTGACTGGTAGCTTATCTTTTAGATTCTGTCTTCATCTGAACATCATCAGGTTTAGCACTCTGGGGAAAATTCCATGCCTCTAATTGCCTGTGTTACTCTGTAGGGCCTCCTGCAGAATATCTCCTGTCTGACTCACGAGTCTCCAGGTGTCTTTACTTTCTGACGTCCCCGTCTCTTTCACAAAGCAAAGCCATCTTGTTAGGCATTGTCTTGAAATAGTTACTGACCCAGACTAGGATTGGAAAGCCCCCAGTTTCTCTACATTTATGGAAGATTCCAAAGCGCCTTCCAGTTTGGGAGTGGAAAACAGAGAAGGGTACCCCAGGCTAACTTGAATCCTCATCAAGGATCACACCGCCAACTCTTCATCTTGGTTTTGAGCTCATGTTCTTGATCCCAGGCCTGAAACTCTGCCCATCTTAAGTTTCTTTCCCCAGCCACGCTGGAGTAAGCTCACCCACGCCTTGAGTTCACAGGGCCTGTGTCTGCCTCCCTTCACCGCAGAGAGCTTCGTGTTTCTTATTGCAATTCTGAGACTACAAATGGACAATACGGGTGTGCAGTCTCGGGTCCTGGGAGTGAAGATTTTGCTGATGAAGAATTAGCACTAATCAGAGAAAGCGAGCCAACTCTATGGGGGAGCAGAATTTGTTTGGTGTGTGTCGTATCAAGTGCTAGAGTTGTGGCTGCCACATCATAGGTGCCCAGTCATCGAGAGAATATGTCACCCCACAGTAGGGAGATTAACTCCCTGGTTAGGCAGGATTCCAGTGATTATTGATTATGTCACAGTCTTTACTTTCCCGACCACAGCCCGTCCTTATCTCCCCATGTGAGATGCTGCTGTGAACCTCCCACAGACAAGATGCCCGTCCCTCGGCTCTTCCAGCCCTGGGAATGGTTTGGTTTATTCTAAAGCCTAGCTATATAAACTGTGGGTCATGACCCCGTAGTGAATGTGGGGGTCAGGCAAAGTTTAGCAATGGCAAAAGGTTTCTGACCATGCAAGAACCCAAAGTTAATTCCAAATCAAGCACATTAGTTACATTATAGACATTAATATAATTACATGTGTACTATGTGCACAATATAATTACATTATATACATTAATACATCCCGATTCAGGGGTATTCTGACTGTAGCGGCCCATGTTACACTGTGGGATGCCACTGCAACACTGGTTCCGAACACACGTGGGAAATTTGCGCTTGGCATACCATCACACCACACAGCGCCAACCCATGCGGCTGAAGTACCTCAGCTCAGATGGAGGTTACTATAGCTCAAGAATTTCAGCGTTTTTACTGTATATATAAAAAGTTCTGCTCTTCTAGAAGTAAGAATAAATATGGAAACCAAGACTTTTCATATTTCCCTACTCTAAGTTGTCAGCATCAACATATCAAATTAGTATGTCGTTGGATTGTGTTGTGCTATATTATTTAGTCTTACTGACTTGAGTTTCATTCAAAGAATCCATGCAGGACTGTGGAGATGTCTCAGCCAGGAAAGTAGTAGCTGTACAACCATGAGGACCAGAGTTTGACCCCCAGCACCTGTAGAGGCTGGGGCGCCTGGGACCCAGGAGAGACAGAAAGGTTCATGACACTTGCTGGCCAACTAGTACAACTGAAGTGACAAGCTCTAGGTTCAATAAGAGACTGTCTCAAAAAAATATAATAACCTATAGGGCTGGAAAGATGGGTCAAGAACATAGGATCCTCTTGCAGAGGAACTGAGCTCAAGGTGTGTCACAGCTGCTGTGGATTCTGTGCCTTCTACCTCTGCAGGAAACTGCACTCATGCACATACTCCACCTACACACACACACACACACACACACACACACACACACACACACACACACACACCACACACGGGATTTAAAAATAATTAAAATAAATCTTAGAGATACCTGAGTCAGCTTCTGGTCTCCACACGTGAGCATGCGTGCTCCCCACCGTATGAACACACGTGCACATACAGATCCTTAAATAAATTTTAGCTTGGAGTTTAGGACAGAATATACAACATTTTTTCCAGAAAGAGCCCTAAAAATAATTTTGCCACCTTGTACTACATATTTATGCAACGCGGAGGTCTCATGATTGACAAGTATAAAAATCAAAATATCTATTAACTCTGAAAATCATTAAAGATACTTTCTACCTTGTGGAATCAAGTACTCAACCAAGATTTCATTTTTTTAGGTAAAATTAAGCAGGCATAGCTAATTTAGTTAGTATGCAAATTTACTTTTACCTTTAATAAGTGGTAACACTGCTTATATGCCAAAGAATTGATGTGAAATGTTATATTATCAGTAAATAATATACATAAATGCTTGATTTGTGTACTTGTTTTATGTGCCTGTGTGTGTACCCTAGGATCATATACAATCTCTTGGGCTGAAAGGAGTTTTGGGAGTGCAAAAAGCTTGAGCAGCCCAGTTCTGGAGCATCACACCTCGCACCTGGATTCCCCTGTGCACACTAGAAGTTGGTGTGCAACTTTGGCTCTTAGTGTCTTGGTGGACACATTCCTTGGAGAAGTGGGCCTTTAATTCCTGGTAGAAGGGGATTTATCCTGGAGGGGGCGTGGCTACAGATGTCCCTCAAGCAGGGAAGAGACCAATTTGTGTCCTATGGGGTGGTCTCATGCCAGGTGGGGGAGTTGTAATTCTTGGAGGTGGGCTTTCTCTGCTAACACATGGGGTGAGGTTTCCTGTCCTGGTG